AGTAAAAAATTACTTTGGGGTTTGATAGTTGCTATTCCTTTTGTTCGGCGATTCAGTGCTAGGTCAATTATAGTTTTAAGATTAAGTACCTGGAGTTCCCTTGTTGCATCTACCTTTGGCATCACACCCTTTCCCTTCACAGTGGATGTCCACATTGAAGCGTCTCCTCACCTTCTTAAATCCGAGCAAACCGTCTGCCTTAACTCAGTCTATTGCTTCCTGAGTCGCACTAAACTTTGTAGCTGCTTTCCGTACTCCAAGGTCTTACCACAACTAGTTCGCCTCTTGCGCAGTTTTCATTCACTGTTTCTTCTCAGTGCTTCTTAAGACGGGCGTTTGCGTAATGCCGTTTTCCGCGGACTCATCGTAATCATAGGCTATTGACGCCCATCCTACTGTGTAGAAAGTCTGTAATCAGAAATTCTCCTTCCATTTATCAATGAACTTATTACCTTGACAGCATTTCTAATACTTGTGATTACATCCATGATGACAGTCTCCTGTGATTTCCATGTTGTGCACTCACCACATTATAAATGACGACCGTCCATTGCAGTTGGTCATAGACAGGCTCCTGATTGAAGTAAACTCAGTTGGCTTGCTAGACCCGCCGACAACTTCGAAGTCTACTCTTATCACATCCACGCGTAGCTTCAGTTGACCAACTCGACGCCGGTCCAAGCTGTGGTTGGACGAGGTAACATTCTGAACGACTTCGTCCCAATTTAGCACAGCACATGATCGAATCATCTCAGCCGGCAAATAAGGATAGCACACGTGACGGGTTAGGACCCCGTCTGGATGTAAAGCCGTGGTTTGGAGACACGATCAAAGGCACGAATTCAGAGTGTTGAGTACCAAATGGATCGATTAAATAGTTGTGAGTTATGAATATGTAAAGGAACGAACAATGTTTAATATCCGTTGTTTTTGCGAAATCTTCATATCCTAGCAGCCTGCCTGGTCCTCTGAGTGATCCTAAATAGTTTTCAATGGTTCGAAAGCCCAAAACCCTTAATGTTTCAAATATTCGGATTACCAGACGTGTGCGCGATGGGTTTTCGAGTTATAGATGCGGGACTGCGCTGGTATAATATAAGCCAAAACTACCGACCTTTAACCGCCTTTGTCTAAGAACCACCCTTTAAGTGATGTATACCGGTCCTGTTTCGAACGTGAACCCGCAGTCGCTGTCGCAGCACCGCGGGGTTATCTCAGGCCACTCACCAAACGTGATGAGGGTAGCTTGGACACGTTATTTAACGTCCGTCAGATAAATATAGTGCTTTTATTCTTCGCCTGACACCATTGCCGATAAAGAGGCGACTCTGTCAGAAACCTGTGCTTCTGCTGTAAATAATCTCACGTGGAGAGCTGCCCACACAGATATCACGTAGGCCAAATTAGTTAGCCAGGATCATAATCGTCTCGAAAATAAGTAAAATTCCGGAGGCTTCAATTCACTTTGTGAAAGACTGCTGACCCTATTTTGGTTCAATGATTGAGCCTGGCCTTAAGCTACTCCATTGGGATAAATATTGATCTGAGGCTGCAGGGACTGTCAGCTCCCAAAGTTCACTGCCGTGAAAATCGAGGCGAGAATCTTCATCAAAGGGGACGCTTTTGCAGTATCTCCACCTGAAGTCACACTCGCCGAATCGTTCTCGTCACTACACGTGCAGACTATTCTATTTATTCAGTAGTAGTAGTAGTAGTAGTAGTAGTAGTAGTAGTAGTAGTACTTGTACTTGTACTTGTTACGGCTGTGATCATGCCTGATCTAGCCGG